AGCCACCGTAAGCGTGAACAATCAATTAAGACCCGAAATGGTTTATCAAATCCTTCCAATGATTGCTAAGCCAGAATCTATCTTCTCAGTTGAAATTGTCTCTATGTTTGTATATGTGGATAGCCTCATGAACGAATCTCTCGTGGTAGCCAGATAGCTTGCAGAGAACCTCTGTCTTGGAGAAGTCAATGTCATGTGAGCCTACTGAATTATAATAGTGATCTGCCACGGCCGAGGTGTTGGTCCTACCGTGTTTTAGGTCTGCTTTGTGTTCACAGATGCGGTCCGAGACATGTCGTTTGGTTTCTCCAATGTAACTACTACCACAGAGGCAACTTAGTTTGTAGACGCCAGGGTACTGTATGTCTGGAATCACATCTTTTACAGACGGAACCAGATCACGGATTTTATGTAATGTGTTGAATCGGACGTGGATCTTGTGTTTATTCAAGATTTTGGAGATTTTTTTGTGATCCCCGCAATGTAGGGTAAAGTGATGGTTTTGAATGGCTCCTCAAGAGGGTCCTTCTTCATGGTTTAAGTGATAGCTTTGCGGATTGTGTAGTCGGAGTAACCATTAGCCTTAAGAGCTTGATGTACGTGCTTGAGTTCACTGGCTATGTGTTCCTGGTCGGATATGCATTGGGCTCCATTGTGTAGAGTCTTGATGAGGGAATTCTTCTGGGATGGATGGTGGTGGGAATCCGGTTTCAGGTAAGCATCCGTATAGGTAGCAAGTGAAGTATGTATTGGTTAAGAAGTGTCTCACCAGGGGGGGTACCTAAGTGTTTAGTCCTTGATGAACCAAGTCTTCAATGATTGCGATGGTGTCAGGTACAGGAACTTTGGTGAATAAGGAAACTGCCACTCTGCGCCCAACCTTATGGAAGACGTACATACGTGGATGACACTTTTGTCATCTGGCCACATGGCCGGCCTGCTCTAGACCAATTCCTCTACCACATCAATTCCATACACCTAGCCATCAGATTTACCATGGAAGTCGAAAAAGATGGCAAGCTACCTTTTTTGGATGTCCTAATAAAAAAGAGACCTGATGGTTCAATGAGCCACTCTGTCTACAGGAAAGCTACCCATACGGATGCTTACCTGAAACCGGATTCCCACCACCATCCATCCCAGAAATATTCCCTCATCAAGACTCTGCACCATAGAGCCCAATGCATATCCGACCAGGAATACATAACCAGTGAACTCAAGCACGTACACCAAGCTCTTAAGGCTAATGGTTACTCCGACTACACAATCCACAAAGCTATCACTCCAACCATGAAGAAGGACCCTCTTGAGGAGCCATTCAAAACCATCACTTTACCCTACATTGCGGGGATCACAAAAAAGATCTCCAAAATCTTGAATAAACACAAGATCCAAGTCCGATTCAACACATTACATAAAATCCGTGATCTGGTTCAGTCTGTAAAAGATGTGATTCCAGACATACAGTACCCTGGCATCTACAAACTAAGTTGCCTCTGTGGTAGTAGTTACATTGGAGAAACCAAACTACATGTCTCGGACCGCATCCGTGAACACAGAGCAGACCTAAAACACGGTAGGACCAACACCTCGGCCGTGGCAGATCACTGTTATAATTCAGTAGGCTCACATGACATTGACTTCTCCAAGACAGAGGTTCTCTGCAAGCTATCTGGCTACCATGAGAGAATCGTTCATGAGGCTATCCACATATACAAACACAGAGAAAATTTAAACCGAGAAGATGGATTCTGACTTAGCAATCGTTGGAAAGATTTGATAAACCATTTCGGGTCTTAATTGATTGTTCACGCTTACGGTGGCTTTCAGACCGCATCCATTATTTCCATCTCCCCCCTCCTCTTTTCCGAACATAGATGGACTCGTCCATCTGAATAACTGCCAAATCGCTCTCCGTGGTGCTAACGCTAAAAAAACGCCACTTTTTCAAAATTTTCTTGCTGTGGTTTTCACACCTGATGATGATTGCTTGTATTGCAGTCGAAATGTCGTGAGAATTTTATTGTTTTATATTTTAATATTTTATTGTTTCCCTTCTACGTGACTTTACGGAAAGAACCAAGAATACAACGGCATTAGTTTGCAGACTTGGGCTGCTGGAATCACCCTCTTGCACTCGTTGCACAGTGAAATGAGGCCCTTTCAGCGGTCAATTTGGTTTTCCTGAGCAGCCCTGCGCTAGAGGTTTGGCTTCCTCGCGGTGGGACCAGTGGTCTGGGTTGGTGAGGGTGGGGGTCGGCGTCCATACACACGGGTTGAACACCACAGTCCGAGAGTGTTGGAGTAAGATTCGTTCGAGTGATAAAATGACCAAGGCCTTTTTAAATATTTGCAATTTTAATTAACTTTCAAGCCACACACAAAAACACGAGAAATAAGACCCAACAACATTAACATTATTGCATTTTCGAAAAGAACGTATTATCCCACGTACAAAGTTACTCTTGCATATTTTTTGCTTATTTGAAGTTAATTGTGTAATGCGACGCATACTTTTATTTTTAAACGCACATCTCGGGTTTTAAAACGGTTTTCCCAGCGGATAAAAATTATTGGTCAATATGAAAAATCAACATCCCCCGCCCCTCACCTACCACCCTTCCCCTCCCGCACCCTCGACAATTCATGAACCTGACGAGGTTTAACTTCGCCCCCAAAGGCGACTCCACTAAGGAGGCGGTACAGTACAACAAGTAGGCTGCAGATGCGCTATCTGCGTGGTACAGTGTTCGACTGCTCTCCTCTTGCATGTGTGGATTTTCTCCGGGCATTCCGGTTTCTTGCCACGTGCCAAATAAATAGAAAATGCAAGAAATTAATAGCAATTCGTCAGACATATCCCAAATGCAGGACCCTCCTGGCAAATGATCTTGAGACTCAGGGAGGCGTTTCTGAGGAGACAAAGGAACTGGTATTACCGTATTCTCTGGATCATGCCACACTCCCCCCCTGTATATAATTTTGTGGTGCGTATTATGGTTCGGTAGATGTGTTCGTGCGTGGTGACCAGTCTTTGTCTTACTTTATTGACAGGGGGCACAAGTTTGTATGTATGCTGAACTTTTTTGCACCGTACGTAGCCAACCCTGCTAATCGGAGGTGCGGGGGAAGGACAACTATACACAAAAGGCAGTTAAAAGAAATGAGTTTTCAATCTAGATTTAAACAGATACAAGTTTGGGGAGAGCGTCTTAATTTCTTGAGCATCTTAAAATCTTGAGAATACGGTAATATTGCAGTACAACTCCTCTTGTCTGCAGTGGTGTGTGGCTACACACGCGGTGTGTGCCCGGGACACCGCTAAGATATTTGGACACTGCATCAGGACTGCAGGTGGAGAGGTGGCGCAGTTGGTGCCCTGCGTCACAAACCCGACGACCTGAGTTTCATTTCCGGGCATGGCTAACATCAGTGGTGACACCTGGACCGGTCCTCCAAGCTTCGGTGATTCCCACCGTCACCAACCGGTACTGAGCAGCTGTGGTGAAGTATGATCAAACAACTCCCGTCACCGGCAACGGCGAGGCCTTCATCCAGCAGTCGATTGACATCAGGGCCGTACGTAATTATGATTAAGACTGAGCAAAACATTGTCTCTTGTCACTTCGCTTCCGGCTGTTTTAAGCAGTCGTGTGGATGCAATTTGTGGATGTGCCCCCCTAACTCTCAGCCATCGTGTTTGAGACGACAGCCAACAAGAACGAGTTACAATTGCCACACTACCATAAGCAGATTAACCAATGCAGTCTCTAATCAGTAATCTAAAATTATTCATTGTTGTATGAAATCATATTACTATTCGGGTCAGGGTGATCCGATGACATTTTGTTCGTGAATCTGAATTTATCCAAAATCATAGGCGGAGTTTGACGTCTATATTTGGGGGGGGGGGGCTTTGTTCGCTTTGTCCCTCACATTATGAATCTCGGGTGCATATAGTTATTATTTTTATCATCATTGTAAACTACTGAAAATAAATTAATAAAATGTTTAGTCTGGGTGGGGCGTTGCCCCCTCCCCCCGCAAACTCCGCCCATGTCCAAAATTGTATCAATTACTGTATATCGAGAAGTCTCTCCCTGCTCAATGGATCGATGGGATTGGTATCACTCTTCATCTGCTGCTCTGACCCAGTGTTGGATATTGCACATTCTCATGGTAAGTGGCAGTCTGTCCATAGGATGACCACTGCTGATTGACTTTCCACAAACCCTTTAGGGATCATGGGTTTTATAAACCCTTTAAGGATGATGATGAACTGAGCCAACCCCGACACCCCCGCCCCTTCCCCCACCCCTGAGTGAGATTTTAACTCATAACCTCTCCGATTGCGAGTTGAGCTCTCTAACCACAGCCCTGCGCTATATTTACCACACTTGTGCACTGTCAGCAGAGATTCTCTATCAAATGAAGCAGCAGTGGTGGAAGTTGCCTATTGGGTCTAAAGCAGAATTTTGATCTAGAGCCCCCCTTTCGGAATTATAAACTCCTGGTGAGATGACAGAAGAGCTATGGAAATGCAGGCTTAGGAATGGGAATGTAGTGAGCTAGCAGAGTGATGCAAAATAGGATAGCATTGATTTAGTGATATTATCAAAGACCGTGATTAATTCAACTTTTTACGTTATACAGCAATTAAGGGGTTATGTTTATTGGAATGTCAATTTCCAATTATATTTTATTCTAATGGAATTGATATTTATAGAGCGCCTTCACTCAAGGCGCTTGATACAAAAACGGTGACAGAGTTATTTAAATGACAGGGGCGTGCCACAAGGATCAGGAATGAGTGACAGCGATAGAAGGTACAGTAAAATCTTGGATTGCGAGTAACTTGGTCTGCGAGTGTTTTGCAAGACGAGCAAATTTTTAAAATAAATATTAATTTGATAAACGAGCGAGGTCTTGCAATACGAGTAGTACGTATACGCTTTGTCTGCCGAGCGTCACGTGATCACAACTGATATACGAGTGCTTTGATATACGAGTGCTTGGATTGCAAACACGTTTCCGGAATGAATTATGCTCGCAATCCAAGGTTTTACTGTATTTAGGGATCACAAAAGGGGAGGGGAGGGACGCGAAGGAGTGGAGGGATGAGGGGAGGTAAGAGAATGGGCAATATAGAAGGGGTGAGGCTTTATGTACAAGGAAAGTTGATTCCAGTGGAGAAGTGCAAGGAGGGAAAAGAACCGAAAATGGGACTGGGCACGGAGAGGAGGAGGGACAGAGAGAGAGACAGAAAATTGGGAATGAAGAGGACGAGAGGGGACATGCAAGGAGATGAGAGAGGCAATATAAGATGGGGCTAGGCCATGGAAAGATTCGCTGCGACAATGCCATGATTCGAGGGCACCTTGTGCTACTTGTGCCCTGAATATTTTGCTTGGTTTGCTTGAGCCTAGGGCGGCCACCGAGGAGCCACGGGCATTGCTGTGATTGTGCCGTATTGTCTGGTTCACTTTACTTCACCGCGTTACATTGTCAGAGCAGTTTCACTGAGCTTGGAGTCAGTCGGAGATCAAATGTTACGATGCGAGGCCTTGAATTAAAACACTGTGGGGATTTGTAAACGGCTGATATCCAAGCAGTTTTTTTTCCCTTTCTATTATCGGCTGTTTTGGTGTCGCAAAACAAAACTGATTAGATTAAATAGGGAAGGATTTTAATTAGCAGACTCGGGAGTCAAAAGGCGAAGTGTCCCGTGAGCTCTGGCGCGCGACGGGGCAGCGCTCATCTCTGTTGCCGAGCAACGAAGACAAATTAAAATGTGCTCATTTGCATATTGCAGGGGCAAATAGCTAAAGCCTGTTGCGTGTGTGATGCAGTTGAGCTAGAGTTGTTCAGTTCAAGTAAAGCCATCGGTGGGTGACGTTATTGAAGCCACAGGCGACTAGCAAATTAATTACATTTGTACGCAGGAGGGCACGCAGAACTGCTTCCCAAATGTCTTGAAGTCACCTCGTTATCCACAAGAGGTGGGCATCATATTTTCGTTTGTCGCTTGACGGTGCGACCGATACTTTTCAATGTTATCGGAGCTGGAATTTAGTTGAATTAAGGCCAAAACTAAATTAGTATGATTTTTTTTAGTGCAGCCATTGATGACTGGTTTGAGAACATCAACCCGCTACATGTAAAAAGCCAGCTAAATCATGGGCGACTGCAACCTGGATTCGAACCCAGGTTCGCTTCAGTGTCGGCACAACAATCTGATTTCATAGTGACCCGGTCACCTCTCCCTGCTCAAACGAACTCTGTGCAGTGCTCAGAGCCAGTGGTGGAAAGCCCACGTTCCTGTGGTAGGGGCCATTCTCTCGAGGGAACCACCCTTTGAATTTTCACAAAGTGGTGCTCATTTTTATCAGTTCTGAAGGGATGGTACGTCGACAGCTCAAAGCGCAGAGCTCCGTGCGCCATTACTGCACTGTGAACTGCAGTAAGGTCCGACGAAATGTGAATGGTGGGGTTAGGGTGTCAGTTACAGACCGAGTACTGGTGTCTGGTTGGCTATTTGGTTAGGGCTAGCATTTGGTTGGTCACTGGGTTAGCGTTATGGTCACTGGGAAGGCTAGTAATAATGTCAGGTTGCCTAGTCGGTTATGGTCAGAATAGGGGCTAGTACTTGAAAGTGGTTTGCCTGGTCGGTTAGTTAGTTAGGGTTCTGACCAGGGCAGTATTAGATCCGTGGCTACTTTTCATTCCCGGTGTTTACAGAGCCACTAAGTAACCAGGACCACCACCACCATAAAAAAGTGATTAATAAAAAAACGTGGCGATCATCGGCGACGCGGATAACGGGACTGCGGAGAACGAGGAGTCGAGCAGCGCCACCACAACGGCGGCGGTTGCGGCAGCTTAAAAGTGGATGGAGGCAGAGCGCAGCACGGGGCCGTCACACTCACACGAGCATTCGTCACACTCGCACTCGCTCTCGTCGTCCACCTCCGGCTCGCGGGGGTCGTTTGCTGGGTCGCCGCGGTGGGGCGGGAGCGGGAGGCCGCGCTTCACCGTGAATATCCTCTTGCGGCCACGGCCCTCGGCGGGCCCGCTTGCCCCCGGCGACTGAAACGCGTGCAGCGAGTGCGCCGACAGTGCCATGTGCTGCTGCTGGTGCTGCTGCTGCTGCTCGTGGTGGTGATGGTGGTGGTGCGGCTGATGATGATGATGCTGTTGCTGCTGGTGGTGATGTTGGTGAAGGTCCTGCTGATGCTGCTGTTGCTGGTGGTGATGATGGTGGTGCTGGTGGACGTCTTGGTGGTGAAGAAACTCCTGGCTGAGCAGGTCCTGGTGGTGGTGATGGTGGAGGTCTTGGTGGTGTAGCAGGTCTTGTTGATGGTGGTGATGGTGGTGGTGCTGTTGCATGGCACTGCCAGGCAGCCGATGGGCGGCATGAACCCCAAATCCTCCACCTGTTCGGACTCCGCCTCCGCTGCTGCTGCTGCCGCTGACGCTCGCGCTGTTGCTGCCGCCTCCTCCGCCACTGCACGCCATCCGGCGGTCGACGTGACCGCAGTCGACCCCCGACGCAGTGCACATGTGTGGCGCATCCTGACGCAATATCAGGTCGCGCAAGCTAAGCGTGCTGCGGGCCATGCACGCGGCGCCGCCACCACTGCCACCAATGGCCACCGCGGCCGAGGAGGAGGAGGGCAGGGTGCCCGGCCGGCCGGAGCCGCAGTGGTGCTCGTGCACGCAACGCGTGAGCGACGCGCACCGGTGAAGTTCTCTGCGCTCACACGCCGCACCCGCCTGTGCCCCGCCACCGCCAATAGTGGTGGAGAAGGTTTCGGCGAAGGCGCCAGCGGCGGAAGAAGATGCTTGGCCATGCAGCATGGTGACGGAGTCGTGCCGGCAGCCTTGGGCGGGGGCAGGAGAAGGGGTTAGTCAGGACGTGCCAATAGATGAAAGATAAAGGTGCTAGAACCTATAAACGCTCGCTCGCTCGGACACGTCACTGTTGGCACAATGGGACCCTTCACCAGAGGAGGGCTCTAAAGAGTCACTCTCTATGAGCCACGTCCTTTCTCAAATATGTCAGCGATCGTAGCCTTCTTTTCTTTCAGCTTTACCCGTGATATTTACTCAAGAATGTTGCCAACATCCGCCAACTCTTGTGTAGTGACATCACAGCCACACAGCCGGGGTGGCTATGCTGCACATGCCCTGTAATCCAGCATTTTGGAGTCAGCAAGGGTTGGTGGATCACTGCACAAATGTTGTGCAATTACCCATACATTATAAGGTTTCACTCATTGCACACAAAGTGCTTGCCACAAATGAACCACAATACCTTACTGATCTCGTCAAGGAGCATAGACCACCACGCAAACTTGTAGCTTTTGTATAGCCATCGAACAAAGATGATCTTTGCATCGCGCGCTTTCAGATACGCTTCTGTGGCCGTCTGGAACACTCTTCCTTCTGATATTAGGAATCCACTGGAGCTATGTATTTCAAAATATAGATTGAAAACTAATTTCTAACTGCTTTTTGTGTTTAGTTTGTTGTCCTTCCCCTGCACCTCCGGTTAGAATGGTTGGCTATGTACAGTGCAAAATAAGTTCACATCCCGTGGGCGTCGAGGAGATGCCGTTCCCCTGGCTCGCTAGGAGAAGGCGGTACAGTAAAGCGCGCACTAATATCGTCTGCCCCTTCTGTATGGGATAGAGTGTTGTCCCCTCGCACCCGTGGGTTTTATAAGGGTGCTCTGGTTTCCTCCCACATGTATAAACAATCATTAATTGGTCAAAACACCTTAATATAGAGGAACACAGAGCTTGGGAAATTTTTGGTATTGCTGGCTCACTACCTGGCTGATGTCCTGCAGCTCGTCTGTGGCTCCTCAGTGATGGTGAGATGTAGCTTTGCAAGAACGACGATGCTATTTATCAAACTAAACGTTCTTATTTAGTTTTTACGCAAAGCGGGTCTGGCTATTTCCAAGAGGGCAGGAGACAGCAGGTCTTGTGCTGTGGAGCAGCCGTGCTGTGTGGCAAAATTTCCAGCCGAGAAAAGTGTCAGAGCAGCTTAAAAGTTATGGAAGGTTGGGAGCCGTGCGGTTTGTCATAATCATCATCATCATCATCTGGGATCCCTCGAGGTCCAGTACAATGGTCCTCCATCGACAGCGATGATGGTTAGGATTTGTGTGTGTACTCAGGTGGCTGATGAGGCCAATCCTGGAACCACATATCATGAAACAGTGACAGCGTGCGTCGTCTTTATTGGCAGTTTGGAAGCTTTGAAATTCCTATCTGGCCTGGGTGCGTTTTATTCATTCGTGCACGTTTCCTAACTCGTGTCTCTCACATGCAAGTGTGCTGGATGGGCAACTCTGTCGTGAACAGTGCTGTGGGGAGAGGGCCAATTCCGATTGGCCCTCTCCCCTCATGGCGTCTGTGACCACCAAAGTGGCTAAACGGGGGCTCTGGACAGGTGCGAGAGGCTGGTAACCCCTCTACCTTAAAAAATTTACCACAAAACCACGACTTAAATATATAACTAATAAGCTTGTGCCGGAGGCCCCGGGGGGACAGGCGTCTATGACATCTCCTGGCCAAACCCCAATTGGCAGAGCCAGGAGATTGAATCTCTACCCTCGGGGCTCCTCCAGAAACAACGACAAGCCACTTCGTGTGGCGTGGAATGTTCGAACGCTCACTGCGGAGGAGAGGCTGCCACTCCTCTGTCGGGAGCTGGACCGGTACCGCCTGGATCTCTGTGGCATTCAGGTACTCGGGGCAGCAGACTGCCAAACAACAGGGTGTGGCTCTTCTTTTGAACAAAAGCATGAAGGGTGCGTGGGAGCGTGGCGGTGAGGTGTGGGAAGCTGTAAGCCCCAGGATACTTTGGGCTCGCCTTCCCATCAACCGGAGGCGAGGAGTGGTGGTCGTGGTTACTTGTGCCCCCACCAAAGACAAACATCCGTGGAGGGATGCAGGCAAAGCCGATGAGTCAGATGCCTTCTATGACCTCCTGTCACAGGTGCTGGCTAAAGTGGCCCCTCGGGATAGAGTCATCTTGTTGGGTGACTTCAATGCCCGAGTTGGTCATGATGCAGCACCTGGTCTGGAGTGATTGGAGGGCATGGGCCAGATCAGCTCAATAACAACGGTAGGAGGCTGCTAGATTTTTGTGCAATCCATGGGCTTGTAATTTCCAACACGCTGTTCCGGCATCGGCACATCCACACAACATCATGGATGCATGCCGGGTCCAAGCAAGAACATCTGCTGGACTACATACTGACGGACCAGTGGATGCGAGCCCAGGACCTACCGTGGAGCTGATCTGCTCTCTGACCATCAACTAGTCATCTGTAAGATGTGTCTGCCATTCTTCCACTCCGGTGGTGGGTGTACACCCAGAACCCCATTCTAACCTAAAGTGGCCTGGTCTCAGTTAGCTGATGAAAGTTGCAAGCGAGAATTTCATCATCGCTTGCGGCTGGGGTTGACATGTCGAGGGTAAATGGGCGAGGTTTAGGACTGTGACTCATGCAGCTGCAATGGCTGCTTTGGGTACGCGGTCCAGACCTCCCCAGAGACCCTGGCTGACAGAGGAGGTGTTTAGGATAGTTGAGAAAAAGCGACAGGCTCACTGTCATTGACTACAGAATCCCACGTCAGAGAATGAGGAGGCTTACCGCAGCCTTCGCTCGGAGGTTCGGAGAGCCGTGAGGTGCTGCAAGGATGGGTGGTGGTCACAGATTGCTGAGGAGATGGAGTCTTCCTCAGTGGCCCGCGATCACAAATCTCTATTTAACGCCATCAAAAAAGTAACCTGCAGCGCCACACCTATTACCATCATTAGGGGCAAATTGGTGTTACAATCTCCGACCCCCAGGAACAGGATTGCAGATTTGCTGAGCATTTCTGTGAGGTCCTGGGGAGAAGGGAAACCCCTCAGCCAGGAAAACATCGTGGCACAAAGTGGGGATGACCCTGCTGAGGCTGCGGTGCCTCAAATATTGGAAGAAGTCACCCCCTGTGAGTGGCTGGCTGAGGTGCCATCTGTTGAGGAAGTACTGAAGGCGATCCGGAGTCTGAGACCAGGAAAGGCAGCGGGCAGAGATGATCTCCCAAGCGAAATGCTGAGGGAGGGTGGCGTTTGTGCACAGACTTCCCTATATGACATCATAACAACAGTCTGGACCACTGGACGGGTTCCGCAGGATTGGAAGGATGCCCTGGTAGTCCCCCTGTTTAAGAAGGGGGACCGCCCAGACTGTAACAACTACAGGGACATCTCACTCCTCAGTTTGCCGGGAAAGGTTCTGGCAAGGATTATTCAATATCGCCTTGCCAGGCACGCTGAGGAGAGGCTTGCGGAGTCCCAGTGCGGTTTTAGGAAAGGGCGTTCCTGCACAGATGCCATATTTTCTGTCCGTCTTCTACAGCAGAGGTGTAGGGAATTCCAACAAGACCTACATCTCTGCTTTATTGACCTGGTCAAGGCCTATGATACCATCAGTAGGCCTGGGCTTTGGGTTGTTCTTCGTGCTTTTGGAGTCCCTGACCCCCTGCTCACGATCATTAAAGACCTTCATGATGGTGAGCGTGCCCGGGTAAAACTATGTGGCCGGGAGTCAGAGCCATTCCCTGTACACCTTGGGGTGCGACAGGGATGTCCTCTGGCTCCCACATTATTTAACATCTATTTTGACCACGTAGTTCGTGAAGCCTTCAATAGCTGTACCGGGGGAATCTCCATTTGGTACAGATATAATGGGTGGCTGATCGATGCCCGGGTGCGGTCAAGGGATGGCTCTTTATTGCTCAACCACGTTATGTATGCCGATGATTTGGTAATAGCTGCTCATTCAGAGGAAGAGTTGGAGACGCTGCTGCTGAGACTGGAGCGTGCCTTTAAGAGATGGGGCCTTACCATCAGCCCCACCAAAACTAAGCGCCTGCCTGGGTATTTTGTACCATCGGACACTCCACCCCCACAACTCCCAATCGGTGATGGGGCAGTTGTGGAGAGAGTGGAGAGTTTCCCATACCTGGGCAGTGTGCTTATGACCGGCTCCAGTTTAACAGCCAAGGTCTCACTCCGAATCAGTTGAGCGGCATTATCATTTCATCGGTTGCGTAACACTGTGTGGAAGCTACCTGGTCTGTCGCTCCACACGAAGCTTCAGGTCTTCTCGGCCACGGTCATTCCCTCCCTTCTCTATGCTTGTAAAACGTGGACCCCCTTAATGGAGCATCTTCACTGGTTAGAAACATTTAGGCTAGCCTGCCTACGATCCATCCTGGGTTTAACCAGGCTGGATTGTGTGAGCTCACAAATCCTTGAAAGATCTGGGCAGGGTCCCATCGGTGAGCTCCTCCGGCAGGCAAGGCTGTGTTGGCTGAGTCATGTAGCCCGCATGCCCAACCACCGCATGCCAAAACAGCTGTTGTTCGGCCGGATCGAGGGGGCTAAATGGGCGTGGCACGGGCTAGAGAAGAGATGGAATGATGTGGTACAGGAGGACGTGGAGCTGAGTGGACTTGCCGATGACTGGTACCAACGGTGTCAAGATTGGCCTCTGTGGAGGAGGCTCGTGAAGGACGCTACTCGGCAGTTGGAGGCAGTCGCCCTCCAACAACAACGGAGGGTGGAGGAGCGACGCTCACAACAACGAGCGGAGCACCGGGTGGCTAAAGCACAGCAGGTTGGCACAGTAGGGGCCATAGGTGGTGCATCAGCCAGTCATCTCAGTCAGTCGACCCGTGGCACCTGGGTCTGCCCCGTGACCTCCTGCCAGCGGGCGTTCGACACTTCACGTGGCCTCAAGGTGCACATGGCCTGGCACAAGCGTCGTGGTGACGTCACCGCCACTTAGTGGCAAATAGCGGTTGTTGTTGTT